ATGCGATCTTCTTGCTATCTTTTGGTTCCCGACAAATCGTCAGAAAACGAACGCTGAAACAGATTCGAGGGATCCTACTTTACGTTACGTTACGTTTACGTTATCTGAGTAGTACTAGCAAAACCGAGGACACGATGGTAACCTTCTTACCCCCTCCTTCCCGCCTCCTCCCGACAGACATTGCACGAACGAGAGTAATGCTATTCGCTTTAATCGTGACGTTACTCTCGTGAGAGAATCGCTTTTGTTGGCTCCTTTAAATGCCGCTTCGTGAATCGATCGAGAAGAGAAGAGAAAATAAGAAGAAGAAGAAGAAGAAGAAGAAACTACAAGGAACACGAAGGGATCTCGCGAGCATCTTCGCTCCTTCGCGAACCTTTGCAGCAGTCACGATCCAGAGCAAGCACCAAGACACGACTATCCACGACTTTACTCGCTTTACTCTACAAAGAAAAATTGCATCTTCGGATTCTTTAAATATATATTTCCCTGCACGATCTATTTCTATTTTCTCTTATCTCCGTTGCTTTTTCTCTCTCTCTCTCTTTTTTTTTGTTTTTAATCGAATTTCATTTCGTTAAACGAAAGAAGGAAGATCGATCGAAATTTCACGATTTGTTTTTTTTTTGGTATTTTTCATTTAAAAAATTTGGAGCAATCGAAAAATTTCGAATGTTGAAGATTAACGCAAGACGCCTTTATGGAGGTATCCGATTGTGCGATCCTTAGGTACGAAGGCTATATAAGATAAAATGTTGAGCCATATACGGGCCAGTGGGAAAGTGAAGAGCTTCGTTGGTGCTGCTGGCGCTGGAACCGGCAAACCTTCTCTCGGTTGGTTAAGCAGGCCCCGTTTTTGTTGAACAGCAGCCCGACAGCGGCGTTTCTGCCTTGTTCGAAATCAAACCTTCTTCCCTCTCTTCCTTAACTCGTCCTCTCGTGCTAGAGATATACGGAGGATCGAAAACAAGTAGAAACGAGAAAGAAAGAGAAAGAGTAAGAGAAAAATACGGAGGATCCACGATATAAGCTTAATGTTCCTCTCCTCTCGCGAGACCAAACCATCGGGAGACTGCGATCACGTTCAACTTTACCGTTAACTCGGACATATTCTTCATCTTCTTTATCTACCTTCTTCCTCTTAAAACTATCTTTCTCTCCTTCTTTCTTTCTTTCTTTCTTTCTTTTTTCTTATTCACGCATGCGTCTTCTGAAAATCTTTTTTTTTCTTTTCATTTCTTCTTCCACACACGCTTCTTTCCTACGGGATCCTCTTTTTCACTCCATTATCGCGTAATCCAAAGTAAAAGAATAACAAAAAAAAAGAAAAAAGGTGGACCATCGATAAACGATCGATACCTGTCTCTCTCTCTCTTTTTTCAAAACATAATCCCGTCTCGTCGAAGTACCTGAATGCATCTCTCTGACCGACACAAATCTTCTTCGGACGGCCGATTTTATCTTTGCTACTTTGAGTGGAGAATTTTAAGGGATCATGAGAGAACATTTCGAGTATCTCTTATCTTTCTTTCTCTCTCTCTCTCTCTCTCTCTCTCTTTCTCTCTTTCTCGTTGGAATTCGACCGGGCTTCAGATAACGTCTCTCGTCGACGCTACGAGATTTCTCTTAAAAGAATTCAAGGGAATACGAGACGCAAAGTATCATAGAGCTATTAGATTACTATGCATATGCGAAAGGGAGTTACCTTGAAAGCTCGTATTAATTCGCCGACGAGTTATTCTCGCAAATCTCATTCGAGTTTATATTTTCTTACTCTACGAACAATCGTTCGCAATGATAAAAGCGACGAAAAGCGATAAAACCATGTGGCAAAGTATATTATGCGTAACAATAAATTATGTTACGATGTTTGCTACCAGTAGTAACTATATACAATGTATTTTTATATATATATACTAAATACGAGAGTTACTCTAATAGCTACTTTTACAACTCCTCCCACGTAGCGGCAAATAATCTCTGGCAAGTGAGCAGTTCGCATTTCATGAAAACCGTTTATAAGAACAATTTTCCATTCGATGCGGCCAACGAAGCGCATGACTATTTTAATTTACCACTTCCATTGCTAAACGAAAGTAACGTACGCGTGCAAACTAATAATAACATTGCAACCATCTATTACACGATATTTTTTTATTTTTCTCTTTCTCTCTCTCTCTCTCTCTCTCTCTTTCAAACTCTAAATTAAAAAGAAGTTAAAATTTCATTTCCGTTATTGCATTCATCGTATACTTCATAATAATTTTGATTGGATCTATGCTAACGTGAAAGTACCTAAATATCTCAAATATTGATTATAACTATTTGAATACTTTTCTTCGAATCTCGTCATAAGGAAGAAACAAAAAAAAATACAAAGGGAAGGAAGAATAATCAGAGTAATAATAAGGAATAAAGAGAGAAAGGGAGAGAGAGGGAGAGAGAGGAGCGAGAAATGGAATGGTGTGTGGAAGCATTCACCCGCATACAAATTGGTTCTTTTTGCTGGTCGAGTTCGCGTCTTGAACGGCACCTACGGTCGACTTGTACACCATCGATAGCACAGGCACCAGCTACTACTACTACTACTACTACTACTACTACTACTACTACTACTACTACTACTACTACTACTACTACTACTCCTCACCGAAAAACCGGATACTCTCGAATACGACGACTACAAGGGGGTTCTCGCGTTTTGTGGAAACAATCAGCAGGTTGTCGCGAAACAAGGATATGAATGCATAAGCAGCGCAGTTAACACGGTTGCTCGCCGTGTTCCCTCCGAACCTTTTTGCTCCGGTTTCTCCCTCAAAAGATGCCGCTTCTATACCCGAGAAAGGGACAGAGTGAACAGGCCCAGGTAGAAGAAAGGGAATAAGAGGAAAGCCCAAACAAGAGGATGGGAAAGGTCTGACAGAAGAGACCAGGAGAAGCGAAAGTAGGCACGAGGAGGACTCACGACGAAACAGGATGGGGACGGGGACGGGGAATGGGAGGAGGAAGGGGAAGAGGAAGAATTGCCTCGCTGTATCCCGACTTTCGACTTTTTTTCCTCCTATTCGGAACTCTTCCCCGGCATCCACGGCATTCTGCGTTCGACCGTCCGGTACTCCTCGTCAAATCCTTTTCTTCGTCCTACCACTCTCTTCGAAGTAAGGATATTTCGGGGTTTCTTGCCAGACGGGCCAGATGACTTTTAATTTATTTACTTCGATCTCTCTATCTCTTTCTCTATTGGTTCCTATCATCTCTCATGGTATATATCGTTTTAATCTTTCCTAATATCGACTATGCATCCGAACTCGAAAATAAATGTGATGATCAAAATTAACTTTAATTCGTACGAATGGAAGGAATGAGATACCCTCTTTTGATGTTCTATGAAAAAAATGGTTAACTTCATTTTGAAAAATGTCCGCCGAGTAATATATTTCTCTTACGATTTAAATGAAATAAAATTAAAGGGGTGAGAAAAAAGTGTTCTGTCCTTTTTTTGGTTTTTTTTCTTTTTTTTAATCACGAGCAACACGATACGGTGTCTCCTTGTACGTAAGAGTGTTCCCATTAACGTAAGAATCGATCGTAATTAATAGCAATGCTCTAAAACGGCGCGGATTTAACGAGACATCGGGTAATCAGACTCTCCTCGGTGAAACTTTGCTTGACGTCATTTGTTTAAGTTGATCGTTCCTTGTCTTCCCTCCAAATAAGGCAACTCCTGTTTGCCACTCCACGGGGAGTGCGAAAGAACAAAGAGGAACTCGTGAGTTCGTTCCACAAGGGGTAGGTAGCCTTTGGCTAGAGTTTCTACGTGTGTGTTTACCCTATGTATGTATGTGTGTAAGTACGACGAGAGCGAAAGGCAAAATGAGGAGGAGGAGGAGGAAACGAATAAACGAAAAGAGAAAAGGAGAGAAAGACGACGGACAATAAAGAAGAAGGACTTGAGAAGAACAGACACCTGCTGTTCTTTCTGCTTTGTCTTTCACGTTTCTCTTGTCTTCGTTTCTTCCCCTCTTTTCACTTCTTCTTCTTCTTCTTCTTCCTCGTCTTCTTCTTCTGTTTCCACACCTTCGATACCTCGGTCTCTGAAATACCTCTCTTTCTTTCTACGGTATAAGAGAAGGCAGCAATCCTTCTCACTACGAGAAACAATCGCACGCGTAAAAGGACGAAGTTTGTAGAGGTATACCTTCGAAGAAACGGAAAACATGCTCTTTTCGTCGCTCGATCCTTTAAAAGTCCTTAGGGATAGATATTCGAATAGGCTTTTTAAAATCCTTCAAACGTATGATGGCCTTGAGGACCGATCGCTCTTTATTTTGTTTCTATTATAAGGACTGGTAGGATAGTATGCATAAATGGGATGCATGCGTGCATGGGCGTGTGCGTGCGTGTGGATTAGCGATAAGAGGGCAAGGGAATGTTTCGAGTTGGATAACCGTGACAAAATTAGGCCTGCTAAGGTATGACGAGCAAACGGTCAGGTAGAGTTTTTCCTTCGTCGAGCAAGCTTATTGTTAGACCGAATACGAATGCAATAAATACCAAATTATAAAACCGCATGTGCAACTTTATATTATTATCTAACAATAAGACCCTCAATTTGGAGTAAATTATTTACAAATATCGGAAGCAAAAGATAAAATGTATTTTCTACGTACGTAACGTATACTTATTACACATACGTTGAAACATACACGAGTCTCTTTATACTCTTAACGATTACAAGGTTTTCGATGATCCAATTGGATCCGATCCAGTGAGTCGAGTACCATATAAGCCGCATAACTCGTACCCTCTTTGCGATAGTTATTGATTTGCACGCGTAACATCACGTGGTAAGATAATCTCGGACTTGTCGTCGAGATGATTTACACTGATTGCCTTTTGTGAAAGTAACCCTTAATTTGTGATTTTTGCCGAACAATAGGCGAGAAACTTTTGTTCTTATATTTTCTATATTTATTTTTCTTTTCCATTATATTTTTCAGATCATTGTCATCGAGTTTATCCTGACACCGGACATGCACCGAGCCCGGTGAAAAGACAGCTATGGCAAGAACGCCGAGAACAAGTATTCGACGAGCCTCCACCGATCATTTTCATCCTCGCCCTCGCAACAATCGAAAACAACAACGCGAAGAAGAGGCTTGCGTTCTCAAGGTCACCTTGGCAAGGCCCTCGACCTCCTGGATGGCATGAGAGCTCATCATGTTCATCAACCACCGACACTGGCCACGAGCGCTGTCGACATTCAACATCTTCGGGGTGACGTTAATCCTACTAATCGTCCTCGGCTATTACGATGTCTCCGCGGATCTTAATTCGGAGTTCGTTAAAGGGAAAAGTAAGTTTTTATTTGCGACCATTTGCATTAGCGACGAGTCTGAGAACAGCGTTTAGGTTCCATAAACTATAAACGATACCGTACAAATAGTTCATAGAATATATGTGCATTATATTTTGATCGAATCATCGAATGGTTTTATCATAAACTTTGACATTGTTCGTATGAATCGATCAAGAGAAAGAGAAGATGCTATTTTATAATTATTAATTAGTAAATAAATTATTAATCATTAATTTAATAATACAACAAAATGTTTTCATATAGAAAATAAATCATAAAATTCATCATTTTAATTTGTTAATTTACAATTAATCAACTATCATAATTATCGAGACATATGTTACGTACACAATATAAAAGAAACATTTTTAAAACGAATTTCAGCAGGACACGTTGTATTGATTTTGAAAGAAAATAACGATATCGAACGAGGTTTGTTAATTGTTGGCTTCGAGGTGGTTTCGAGAAATGTTTTAGTATCAAGTATAAATCAACTACGTCGTTGGAAATACATCTAGAAAGGAAACTATTGCGGCAGAGGTCTATCCGCGTGGGTGGTTGCTTGCCTAGACGAAGGGTCTCTTTTATTAGAAGTAGGTACTTGGAAAGTACCGTTTCTCGTGAAGGAGTAAAATCTTGTGCCTCTTAAAATCTCACGTTTCTTTCCCTTTCCCTCTCCCTCTCTCTCTCTCTCTCTCTCTCTCTCTCTCTCTCTCTCTCTCTCTCTCTTTCTCACTCAGTTTTAGAGTTTTTTCTTTTCGAGTTTGGTTAAACGAGCGTAGGTGCAGACACGCAGCGACTTCACAATCAAAAATATAGGTTTTAATCGAGCACGTGCCAAGCGAGGACTTGACCCACATTGAGTGAATGCACACCAGTTCAGAAACTTACCACAATATTTTTCATAGCTATTTCATCGACGTTTATTGATCATCGAACTAAACAAAATCAAGTTTTCGATTCGTAATTAATTTCTTTTTGTTGGTAATAAATAACAATTATAAACACAAAATCATAGTAATAATAAATGTATATATATATATATATATATATATATATATATCGAATATATTATCTATCTACCTATATAAAATATATAAATTCGATTAATTGATTTGAAAAAATAAACGTGATACAGATTGTTCGAAGAATTTCTCATGGTGTGTAACTACGGTGCGATCAGAAAGCGCGACGTGTCTGCCGATAAAGCTCTCAAGATTTTTTGGAGTACCATAAGCGAGCTCTCCATCACCGATATCGGCTAAAGTGCTTTCCATAAACGTACCTATTAAAGCGATAACATGGCCGTTCGTTCTTTCGTAGCCATTAAACTAATAGTAAGATGCGAGTTACGCCTGCTTGCCTTCTTCCTCGATGCCTTTCTCAACCCTCACCCTACCCCATCCCCCTGTATTCAATCGTTTCATTGACACAAACAAGTTTACGAATAAATGTCTTTATATTTTTAAACATTTTTATTAAAACACGTTATTGATTTGTGGCATCTCATAAAGCTGTACGAGTTCTGACTTGTTTATTTCATCTTTTCATTAAAACAGTTACGGGATTTGATCAAATCTCTATTTTTATCATCTCCCTGCAACATATAGACACGCTCGTTTGACATCGAATCTTCTTTATTCTTTTTTATTTTCTTTCTTTTTTTGTGTTCAATTTCCTATACGTTACATTTATTGAGATATTCGGAAAGCAAAAACGATAAGAAAGAATCAGCAAAGAGATATACCAAAGGAGAATAGTATGAAAAATACAAACGAAACGTAATATCGTTCCGGTGGACATCTCTATCAAACGAAGGCATATATGTACGTACTATGTATACTGAATCGAAGAGGAGACATCTGGGAGGCATGCCTTAATTGACCGTTCGGAATATTGACGAGATCCGAGAGACGGATTGAGACGTTGAATTTCCAAGGGACGCTCGCTTTTTTCCCTTCGAATGAAATATGACCGCTCAATATGCTCGGCAGATATTTATGTACTCGTGGGATTGCGTGCGCCCTATCTTCTCTTCTCTTCTCTTCTCATCTCTTCATTCTCCGAGATCAAAGAATATATACAAGGGGAGTAGAGGGGATTACTGATACAACGTAGGAGAAGATCTTCCCTCCCTTCCTCCCTTTTTCCCTTCTTTTCGAACATCTACCTCTAGTCAACATGTCCTGTGCGGTATAACAAAGTCAGATCTTAAGATGTGGTGACCGACAAAAAAATTCATCCTTATACGCGCATAAGCAATCTTACTTAAAATACGTTCCTTCCTTCCTTCCTTTCTTCCTTTTTTTTCACGATCACATAACGAAGCTGGATTAATAAAAATATCGAATAAATAATCAATTTAATTCTAATCATGTGTGTGTTTATCAGAGAAAAATTCTTATCGATTCGAAGACTGACTGAGCCTTTGTAAAATGTTTTATTATGTGTATATTTTTATTTGATCATCATCAGTGCTGAAAGGTTTTCTCAAACACTCTTGATCTTTCGGATTTAAAATCTTCAGTTACGTCTTAACAGTTCTTTCATTCGTAATAATTTAACATCTTAAACGGATTAAATTTGTTTTGTCGTTTGTATCGCACTTTTGTCTATTCTATAATTGAAAAGTATCAACTGACAAAAATATATTTATTCGTCATTTTTTAATCTGTTTTTAAAATATGAGACACTAAATGAAATAAATCACATTAGATCGAAAAGAAAAATAAAGATTTAATCGAGTACATTGTTCTAAAATTAAATATATAATTTTAATAACCGATACTTATCTAATATCGTTGTTACACCTTCTGATGCTCGAATAAGAGTGACAGTAAATACGAAAACAAATTACGAAAATCAATGTGTTTACAAGTTCGACAAAGAGATTTTGAAAAGAATAAAGACGACAATAATCGAATGCTTTCATGGACCGAGGGGTAACGTATGTATAAACAAAACATTAAACGACCGAGAAACCGATGTTTCGATGAATTTAATCTCTATCCACCCCTTCCCGTCTCAGTCATTATTTTTCTCTGCTTCCAACTAGACGTTTTTAGTGCGTTCTCGTTTTTTTCTTAATTCTTCTTAACTTTCAGCATGATCACGTTAGGAATATAATGTTAATATTTTATAAGTACGTATATATATATTATTCTTAAACCATGAATTTCAACATAATATTATTTTCCGAACTATCCAATACTCTTTTATTTTTATATATGTAAATCATAAAATTTGTTTTTTAATAGATATTTTTTAATGAATTTTATTCTTCAATTGCTTAAGGATAAGTCGAAGGTTAGTGTATTTATCGTGCTGTTCATCGTTATTCTATGAAGAAACGGACAGCATAAAAACACAACTGTAGCATATGGAATCATTTTAATCTGACTGCTAACGAACATGACACGTGCCGGTCTTTCTCGCTAATGGGATTTTAAAGTCGATTCAATTAAACGAGAATTCCAAAGAGCAATCACTTGTACGAGGCATAATAGTCGTGGCGAGTCTTATTAATCATTTTCACCCGCGGACTTTCGTAATTTACCCTAAGGCTTAGTTTCGTACTTGTGACAAGAGCAAAGAAGAGAAGAAAGGACGAAGAACGGGAAGGAGAAGGAGGAGGACAGCCCTGAAGGAAAAAAATGAAAATTAGAAACAGCTTGTTATACAGTTACGAGAAAAGAAAACTATTTTCACGAGTCTATCTTTAAAAAAGTACCAATTAACGTGCTTGCCTTGGTTCGAACCAGTACGATGTTGTTATTTGATTCAAATCGAACGAGGAAACAGCTATGAAAAGTAAATAGTATGAAAGAAAAAAAAAAGAACATTAACCATAATGAAAATCACATTGAAATTTTTATAAATAAAATTAGATTGAAAATAGGACAAATTTTCGAGTCATTTCAAAATCAAACGACGGATCGAAAATGGATCGATAAATCTTATAATATGTCATAGAAAGAATTGATTGGTATCATCGATCGGTCAGGTTGAAATGTGTGGAGAAGTATTGAAAAAGTGACAAAAAATTTGTATGACGATAGGTATCTTACTAGCTCGACTCTTTCGCCATAACTCGAACAGTTTGATCGATGGTGAACATTGCTCGTTCTACACAGGCACCGGCAGGTCTCGAAACGAAATGTGGGTGGGTGGATGACGAGGGTAAGGAGCGAGTAGGTGGGATTTTTCATCGATCGTAAATTCGGAAAAATTCAACGGAAGAAAAATATAGAAGAAGAAGAAGAAGGTTGTACGTATATACTTTGCGTATATGGAAGAGAGAATGAGAAATATAAAAAGAGAAAGAAAGAAAGAAAGAAAGAAATAAATAGATAGACACATATACATAGATGGATATACATAGAGAGAAAGGAAATAGGAGAAGAACAGGTTTATATAGAGAAAGGAGTACTACTAGAGAGTCTTGATTTTGTAATACAAGATAAAGAGAATATAACGTTCGTTGCCAAGAGCAAATAGAAAGAAAGAAACGAACTTTAAGCGATACGATATTCTTCGGCGTACCTATACATAGATATATATAATTAAATACGCCTTGTATATATTTTCCTATTGCACGGATTAAGTTCCTCGCTCTCTCTACGATTACTTTTCAATGCAAAACTATCTTATTAACTCTTTACATTCGAGAGATTATTCTGGATCACCACTCGGTTTAATTCGTTAATTCGAGTTTTGAATTCGACAGTAGTGCCAATAGAAATATTATTTTCGAAGTTACGAAACATGCATTATCGTTCGCAGGAAAACTTACGATTCGATATGAAAATACTACGTATCGTTACGAAAATACATTATCGTTCGTTGGAAAACTTCGATTGTATCGATTAATATTCAATTTTAATTTTTCTTTTCTCGTGCGTAGATGAGATTTCTTTATTACGTTCTATTCGTTCGTTTAAAAACCGACAATCGTTCGAGAACCTGCATCTGTAATTGACGAAGCAATGATCTTGTTC